CACTCTCTCACACACACACACACACACACTCTCTCACACACACACACACACACACTCTCTCTCACACTCACTCACTCACTCACACACACACACACACACAGACCTGCAGCTCATTCAGCCTGATGAAGATGTAGAAGTGATTCCCATGGAAGAGTCACATGACATCACTGCGGTCAGCCAATCAGGACGTTTTCCACAGTGACTCCCATATCCTGTGCCAAAAACAGGAGAGAGGAAACAGGATGTGATGTCACAGCTGGAGGGGTTTTCCAGCATAGATAGAGTGAGAGAAAACCAACACTAGACTGTGACTGTATTCCTGCACACACAGCCCTTCATCATCATCATCAGTTAAAATCCTCTCTGTCCAAACTTACACTCGCCAAGAGAAAAATAACACACTACCAGTCAAAAGTTTGGCTTTTTTTTTATAAGAAATTAATCATTTAATTAATCAAGGACGCATTAAACTAATCAAAAGTGCCAGTAAAGACATTTATAGTGTTAAAAGATTTATTCCAAATAAATATATAATAATAATAATTTCAAATAAATGCTGTTCTTTTGAACTTTCTGTTCATCTGTGAATTCTGAAAAATAAAATGCATCACAGTTTCCACAAAAATATTAATGTTTTCAACATTGATAATAATCAGAAATGTTTCTCGAGCAGCAAATCAGCATATTAGAATGATTTCTGAAGATCATGTGACACTGAAGACTGGAGTAATGATGCTGAAAATACAGCTGCGCATCACAGAAATACATTACAGTTTAACAGATATTCACATAGAAAACTTTTTTTAAATAAGAATAATATTTCACAATTTTTACTGTATTTTTGATCAAATAAATGCAGCCGTGGTGAGCAGAAGAGACTTTCAAAATAATAAAAAATCTCAGAAACTCAAACTTTTGAACAGTGTAACTTCATTAGAAGTTTTATCTCAAACTCATTCACAGCGCTGGAACTGACCGTGTGATGCGAGTCATGTGACCAGATGTAAATAATATTTACAGCAACAATAGACGTGAAAGCATCAGCAGGTGTGCATTCAAATCAGAGACGGTCCGTTACAGCAGGTGTGTTTGTACCTGAACAACAGCAGCTCGTCTCCACGGCAACCGGTCGTCAAGGTAAACAGAGGCTCAGTGTTGCTGATGAATGGATCAGTGTTTGAGTTACACTCAGACTCACAGACAGTCCATTCTTCAGCGAACACAGCTCAACATTCACTGTGAGCACAAACACACAGAGTCATTTACTGACTGCACAAAGACCTGTGTGTGAGTGAGTGTGAGTGTGTGTGTGTGTGTGTGTGTGTGATGATGATGAAGATCTGAGCACACTGTTCACCAGCATCACGACGACACTGAACTGACGTATGACTCAAATAGTTTAGATAATAAGTATCTGAATAAGTAGTAGTTTTTGCATTTTTTCTCAGTTATGACTTTTTTAAAGTTTACTATGATCTAATTTCAGATTTAGCTTTAGTTCTGTTTTAGTTTATTTATTTCTAGTAAGTCATTTTAGCTTTTTTTAGCTAATGCTTTAACTTAAACCTGTTTCAGTTGCCAAGGCAAAATGTCTCATTTTCATTTAGTTTGTTTTTCATGTAATATTCATATTTTATTTAAGCTTTATATCAGTTAACAGAAATGTTTTATAATAGTTTTAGTTATTAGTTAACGATAATAACCCTGGTTCTCGCTCAATCACATTGGCTGCTTATGTAAGTATTGACTCTGTTAGTAAGTGCTGAAAACATAATTTTTTTCTGATAAAAATTGTGATTGCAATTTAAAATGTGCTTGTTTGTAGGCCTAAACAATTTGGCCAAACTCAGTTATAAAAATTATAATAATAAAAATAATAAAATTAGTATTTAAGAAAAATAATATGATCAATTTTTATTTTATACTACGGTTTAAAGCTGTCTTAGTTTCTACATTTTCAAACACTAAAGGTGCAGTAAGGCATTTCTGAGAGACGCTGTTGAAAGTGGATCAGACCGAGCACAAAACACACTTCTAGCCAATCAGCAGTAAGGGGCGTGTCCACTCAGGACGGGGGAGGTGCCTGTGTTCCATAGCATGTGTGTGAATTTGAGGGCGGAGCTATCAAGATAGGGGCGGGATTCTTTGAGGTAGGGGCGTGTTTGTTTTGTTGATTTCAAATATCAACAGTGTTTCTCTGAAATCACTTACTGCACCTGAGGGCTGTTTCATAAAAGACACTAAGAAAAGCGGGGATTAAAGTCCCAAACCTGACCTGAAATAACCTAACAAATCAATCAGGACTAAAGCGGTTTCATAAACGACAATTTAAGTTCACGCAATCTCACTCATTTGATCCAGGTTCAGTGAGTCAAGATCATTTGATGTGCAGCTTATTCTTAAAGTCGATCACGGATCAAATCGATCCACCATCGCAAACAGCGAATATATCTGTGCTGTTTAATGCATTTGTTTTCCTCCGTGCATAACTGACACGTCACAGGTATATTCTTCATCTGTAAATGTTAGAAAGTCATGCAGATATATCCATTTTACTGTCAGGAGCGCTGCTGCGCGCATGCACGCTAAATATAATAGTGCAATAATTCAGTTGTACTATGTTTTTATTTCTTTGATTTATTTAAGTTGCATTTTCTGTATACTTGTATTTTTGGACTGATAATAAAGTCAACTAATTGTATGTGAGCGAGTCAGTGGTGATATCAGTGCGTTCCTATTGGTCAGAGTTAGAGGAGCTCAGCTTAACCTGACAGTTAACCTGCTCCGGACCAGGTTAGTTTAGTTAGTTAGTGACTGAGCTTGAGCTCTGGTAAATTTGCTTTCTGAAACCAAATCAAGTGACAATAAGTCAGACTAACTGGAATAAGCCTGGCCTATTTGGTAAACTAGTTTTATAAAACAGGCCCCTGAAGCCCTTAAAGCTTCTCTTTAGTTTATCAGCGCTTCTCATGATGAGTTTGTGGAGATTCAGAACTCACAGCTGATGCAGATGGAGCTCGTGTGGATCATGTGTATGTGTGTGTGTGCAGCTGCTGGAGAAACAGCGCGGCGTGGAGCGGATGGTGGAGCTGCTGCAGCTGTACGCGGAGCAGGACGAGGCGTATGGAGATCTGGTGGAGGCCACGACTGAGCTCTACCACTATCTGCTGCAGCCCTTCAGAGACATGCGCGAGTTAGCCATGCTGCGCAGACAGCAGATCAAGGTACACACACACACACACAACCTCCTGCTGTCATAGCGACCGCTGCTTCCCATGAGCCCCCGCTCTAATCACATTAAGGGTGGACAAAGAGAGAATCGTGTGTGTGTGACTCTAAACCAGTGTCATGACTCAGCACTTCATTGAGAGTTTACAAACACACACACACAACACCTGTATGCAAATGACCCTCTCGCTCTGTTTCTACAGTTTACCTGACAAACTGACAATTCAGGTTTCTGTGTGTGTGACACTATGAAACCCTCATCATTCACACAAAAACACATGCAAATACTGTGTGCTCACATTTGTTTGTATGTGTTTTCTGTGAATTAAGGGATTTTTATAGTGTAAACAAACACATACTTACACATATAAATGCATGCATACACACACACACAAACACTCATACACACATACACATATAAATGCATGCATACTCACACACACACAAACACTCATACACATACACATATAAATGCATACATACACACACACACACATATAAATGCATACATACACACACACAAACACTCATACACACATACACATAAATGCATAGTTTACAAACACACACACACAACACCTGTATGCAAATGACCCTCTCGCTCTGTTTCTACAGTTTACCTGACAAACTGACAATTCAGGTTTCTGTGTGTGTGACACTATGAAACCCTCATCATTCACACAAAAACACATGCAAATACTGTGTGCTCACATTTGTTTGTATGTGTTTTCTGTGAATTAAGGGATTTTTATAGTGTAAACAAACACATACTTACACATATAAATGCATGCATACACACACACACAAACACTCATACACACATACACATATAAATGCATACACACACACATACACACATATAAATGCATACATACACACACTCACACACACAAACACTCACACACACATACACATATAAATGCATGCATACACACACATACACACATATAAATGCATACATACACACTCTAACACACACAAACACTCATACACACGCACACACAGCAGTGTGTCAAATGAACATATGGGCAGCGAGCGAAGCAATAAATGAATGCATGAGGAGATGAATGAGTGACTGAGGCATTATGGGACGCCCAGGTCGAGTGTCATGTGATCAGAGAGGTGCAGTGTGGGTATCACATTTCTATACATGAATTAGACATGTGACGAGACGCAGACGCACGAGAGTCCGGACGTCCTGCTGACGGTCAGAAGAGTCTCGTAGATGAGCGGCACGAGGCAATCACTGAAAACAAGACCAAACAAACACAGTTTAGATTAAGCACTGTTCTTACAATCAAAGAAGTCAATATTTTAATTCAGCAAGAATGCATTAAATTGATCAAAAGCAACAGTAAAGACAAAAGATTTCTATTTCAAATGAACGCTGTTCTTCTGAACTTTCTACTCATCTGTGAATCCTGAAAAATAAAATGTCTCATGGTTTCCACAAAAGTATTGTGCAGCACAACTGTGTTCAACATTGATAATAATCAGAAATGTTTGTTGAGCAGCAAATCAGCATATTAGAATGATTTCTGAAGATCATGTGACACTGAAGACTGGAGTAATGATGCTGAAAATACAGCTGCGCATCACAGAAATAAATTACAGTTTAACACATATTCACATAGAAAACAGCTGTTTTACATTAAAATAATATTTCACAATTTTTACTGTATTTTTGATCACATAAATGTAGCCTCAGGGAGCAGAAAATACCTTTTTTTCAGAAACACTAAAAAAATCAATTATTTCAAATTTTTGACTGAAAGTGTGATTTCTGTTGCTGGAAAATTCACATCAATTAAAGCTAAAAGCGACGTGAACATTTTTATTATAAATATCAATTTTTCTAGTTCTGCCAAGCTCTAAAATATTTGATCAAGTAGGTAATTGTGAGTATAAATATATTTTAAAGTCCTGTTCCAGTAAATCACAGATAAAAATGAATTGGTTTAGAAAGAGTGTCTGAGCATCAGATATTGTTCTGATTCAGTGAGTTGTTCACGGCTGTGAGAAAATCATGAATCAGTGAGTTGAACTGAAGATCCAGATCAGTCAGAGTTGTGAAGGAATCTTCAGAACGCTTTATTGAAAATATCTGGTTTTCATAAAGCATCATAGAGCCTCAGAAGATCCTGAGAATAAAGCATTGTGTTGAAACAGGGATTTACTGTACGTGAGAGCACAGAACAACTCCTCATCTGATTCTTAGATGACAGAAGCAGGTTTATAAGGACATGAGGGCGAGGAAATGATGACAGAATGATCATTTATGAGTGAACTAACATTTGAAATGCTTGTTTGGACTTCAGTTTGTTTTCTGAACATCAGTGTTCATTTGACCTCATCAGATCATGTTCATGTGCGCTGGGCGGCAGTGTGATCAGGATATTTAAAGCATGACGTGATTCAGACGACTCTCTCAGGACTGTGTGTGTGTGTGTGTCACGGCTGACCTGTGTGTGTGTGTGTGTCTGACCTGTGTGTGGGTGAGTGTGTGTGTGTGTGTGTGTGTGTGTCACGGCTGACCTGTGTGTGGGTGAGTGTGTGTGTGTGTGTGTGTGTGTGTCACGGCTGACCTGTGTGTGTCAGCTGACCTGTGTGTCACGGCTGACCTGTGTGTGTGTGTCACGGCTGACCTGTGTGTGTCAGATCTCTCTGGAGACGGAGCGTCTGGGCCCGCGGCGGGTGGAGTGTCTGCGCAGGGAGGATGAGGACTGGCAGAGGAAGGCTCACACCGCTGTGCTCTCCATACAGGACCTGACCGTCAAATACTTCGAGACCACGGCTCGCGCTCAGAAAGGTGAGACCGCCAAACTGAGACAGACTCAATCCAGAAGAACTGATGCTTCAAGAAAGCTCCTGCAAAGCTCCTGAGAAACTGTGCTCCAGTGCACCGAGAGCAAAAGCTGCTTTAAATACAAAGGATGCTCACACCAAATGTTGATTTCATTTAGTTAATAGAAGTTAACTGATAAAGAAAATCTATTTTTGACAGCATCCTCATTTTACAGCATTTTTACACAAGTGCCTAAAACTGTTAACAGCACTGTAGCTTTGCAGGAGGTTTCTTGAAGCGTCTTGTTCTTCTGGATTGAGTCTGTCTCAGTTTGTTCTGTTTCTTCATGTGACTCCAGACAGACTGATGATGATCAGATCAGATCTCTGTGTGCAGCACTAACATCTCACTGCATTATTACAATTAATGGCTAAATGAATGTTTGGAAATGTAAACTGATATTTCCTCCTGACACACTACAGCAAAAGATAGAAATAACTGACTTAAAACCATTTTTAGCTGCTGGGAATACTAGTGTTCTAATGATTTTGGCCAGCACTGTATATATTTTCCAGGTTAAAACAGAGCACTACACTAAAGAGGATTGGCACCATGTCTTTCGCATCAGTGATATCTTTCTCTCGCTTCTCATGTGGTGTAACACTGGCAAACGCATCCAAAATAGTTTTTTGCATGTAAAAACATGAGGCAACAAACGTCTGCTTTGTTATTAGTTTTTTAAGAACCCTTAAATCAGAATTAATTACTTTATATCAGGCAAATATAGAACCATGTGAGTTTTTTTCTTTTGAATCAAACACAATAATATGTATATGTTTGGCCCTGCATCACACCTCCTGCGATGTGACTATTGCGCATGAGCACATCGCGATTTCAATGCTGAAACAATGTATCATGCAACCCTAGCATGTATTTATGTAATTTAATAATTTATAATTATTTTATTTAATAATTTTACAATAATGCCACTCCTAATTTCAGTAAAAAAAAGTCTGAAAATTAAATTGTCATTCTAGGAGAAGTATCAGAGATACTGTGAGGATCTTGGAGTCAAACGTTGATTTACTCTACTCTACTCTACTCTACTCTACTGTCCTTTACTCTACTCTCCTGTCCTCTACTCTACTCTACTCTCCTCTCCTCTCCTCTCCTGTCCTCTCCTCTACTCTACTGTCCTCTCCTCTCCTCTACTCTACTGTCCTCTACTCTACTCTACTGTCCTCTACTCTCCTCTACTCTCCTCTACTCTACTGTCCTCTCCTCTGCTCTACTCTACTCTACTCTACTCTACTCTACTGTCCTCTCCTCTCCTCTCCTCTACTCTACACTCTACTGTCCTCTCCTCTCCTCTACTCTACTCTACTCTGTCTGTCTGTCAGTGATGTACGAGCGCATGCGTGCCGACCAGAGGAAGTTTGGGAAAGCTGCGTGGGGGGCGGCAGTGGAGCGCATGGAGAAACTCCGGTATCACACACACACACACAGATATATATATATACACACACACACTCTCACACACACACACACACACAGACACACTCAATCTCACACACACATACACAGATATATATGCACACACACACAAATACACACAGATATATATGCACACACTCACACACACACACACACACACACACACACACATACACACACTCACACACACACACTTACACAGATATATACACACACTCTCACACACACACACAGATATATTCACACACACACAGACACACTCTCACACACACACACAGATATATACACACACACACACTCACTCACACACACACAGAACACACTCTCACACACACACACACACACTCTCACACACACTCATATAAAACAGCATTAACCATGTCATCACTAGCGCTGCATCACAGGGTTTCAGTGAACACGTTGTAAGTGTAAGTGCGCAGATGTGTATGTGTCACCTGTGGTCTGCATGTGTGTGTGTGTGTGTGTGTGTCTGCAGATGCAGGGTCTGCAGGGGGGCGAGGAGGCCATGGTGCGTCTGGACCAGCTGGAGGCCATGTACTACGAACTCCAGCTGCAGCTCTACGAGACCCAGTTCGAGATCCTGAAGTATGAGGAGCTGCTGCTGACGGCGCAGCTGCAGAGTCTGCGCAGACAGATGAGCGGTGAGCGTCTGCACTCCGGAACTCAAGTCAAGTCACCTGTATTTATATAGCGCTTTTAACAATACAGATTGTGTCAAAGCAGCTTTACAGTATTAAATAGGAAAATAGTGTGTCAATAATGCAAAAGGACAACAGTAAACACTCAGTTAAAGGCAGTTCATCATTGATTCAGTGATGTCATCATCCAGCTCAGTTCAGTTCAGATAGTATCTGTGCAATCAAGTCGAGGATATCTCTGGAAGTTAAGTGTCCCAAGCCATCAAGCAGAAATTAAGCCGTCATCTGTGTGTGACTCTGTGTGTGTGTTTGCAGAGAGGCAGGAGGAGGTGGTTTACTACGACACCTACGAGAGTCCTGACGCCATGAAGGCCACCGACGACCCCTCGACCCCTCTGACCCCCCCCAGAGAAGACATGGCCAAACTCCAGCAGAGGACCAGACAGCTGGAGGCCCGCAGAGGACGCATCACCGCCAAGAAAGCCTACCTCAAACACAAGAAGGTATCAGAGCCGCAAACATCTGATCAGAATATAAACATCAGTCAGTACGTTTACATGGACAACAATATTCCGATTTTAACACGATCAAGACAATACTCTGATTAAGAATCTACCATGTAAACAGAGATTTTTGATTACCTTAATCCGGCTAAAGTCATAATCGGAGTAAACACAAATCGAATTAAGACATGTGGAGGATTCCTATTTTAGTCGCATTATTGAAGTGCCGTATAGACATGTACACACCTTAATCACACTATTACCGTCGTGTAGGACTTTTAGCCGCATTCTGCGACAGGATACACACACGGCAGTGCTCAACCGTTAGACGGCGAACAAAAGAGCAACTCCGCCGTCGTCTATTTGCACATATAGCATGACAAATAATTAACTGCACTTGAAGCTTTCGTAAAATTAAAAATGAAACACCCAAAACTGTAAATGGCATCATAATGAAGACGAACTATATGTTTATATGTGAAATTCTGGGTTGGACGTCGAATGGCGTCACGTGTGGACGTAATGACGTGTGCCATTAATCCATCTATGTACTATAACATGTAAAACGGGAACATGAAAGGAGTATTCTAAAAGCAGCTCATGTAAACACCTTAATCATAATATTGTCTTATTCAGAATAAGGTAAATAATTAGATTACTGATGTTCATGTAAACGTAGTCAGTGTCATGTAGTGTCGACCGATATATTGCCAAGGCTGATATATTTGCTGATATTTGACTTTTTCAAAATTAATTATCATCTTCTGTGTTTGGGTGATATTCGGCAGTTTTTTAAATGATCAGCATCGGTAAATAATTTTATTTCTATTTGTGCTATATTTGGCATTTTTATTATCATTATCAGTTAATTTTTCTGTTTGGGCAGTATTTGCAATTTTTTAAAATTATCGCCATCTGTTAATTTTTTTCTGTTTGGCCGATATTTTTCTATGTTTAATTATCGACATCGGCCAGTAACTTTTTCCTGTTTGGACGATATTTTTCTATTTTTAATTATCGACATCGGCCAATAACTTTTTCCTGTTTGGACGATATTTTTCTATTTTTAATCATCGACATCAGCCAATAACTTTTTCCTGTTTGGGCGATATTTGGCATTTTTTTTCTGTTTTGCTAATATTTGGCATTTTGTATTTACTGGCATCAACTAACAGTTTTTTTTACTGTTTGGCTGATATTTGGCTTTTTGTAATTATCATCTTCTGTGTTTGGGTGATATTCGGCAGTTTTTTAAATGATCAGCATCAGATAATAATTATTTTTCTATTTGTGCTATATTCGGCATTATTATTATCATTATCGGTTCCTTTTTCTGTTTGGGCAATATTTGCGATTTTTTAAAATTATTGCCGTCTGTTAATTTTTTTTCTGTTTGTCCGATATTTTTCTATTTTTAATTATCGACATCGGCCAATAACTTTTTCCTGTTTGGCCGATATTTGCCATTTTTGAATTATTGGCATTGACTAACACTTTTTTCTGCTTAGCTGTTGTTTGGCATTTTGTATTTACTGGCATCGACTAACAATTTTTTTTTACTGTTTGGCCGATATTTGGCATTTATGAATTATTGTTATCGGTTTATTTTTTTCTGTTTGGCCGATATTTGGCATTTATGAATTATTGTTATCGGTTTATTTTTTTCTGTTTGGCCGATATTTGGCATTTATGAATTATTGTTATCGGTTTATTTTTTTCTGTTTGGCAAATATTTGGCATTTTTAAGTTATTGGCATTGACTAACAATTTCTTTACTGTTTGGCTGATATTTGGCATTTATGAATTATTGTTATCGGTTCATTTTTTTTCTGTTTGGCCAATATTTGGCATTTTTTAATTATTGGCATTGACTAACAATTTTTTCTGCTTAGCTGTTGTTTGGCTATTTGTATTTACTGGCATCGACTAACAATTTTTTTTACTGTTTGGCCGATATTTGGCATTTTTGAATTATTGTTATCGGTTAATTTTTTTCTGTTTGGCCAATATTTGGCATTTTTTAATTATTGTTATCAGTTAATTTTTTTCTGTTTGGCCAATATTTGGCATTTTTTAATTATTGTTATCAGTTAATTTTTTTCTGTTTGGCCGATAGTTGGCATTTTTTAATTATTGGCATGGGCCAGTCATTTTTTTTGTTTGCCCGATATGTCAGAAGCAGGACTTTATTTTGACAACACTGAGAACACCAGCACCTGCCACACAATGCTCCCGTTATCCGTCTCAGTTTAACAGTTCTGACGTCTCGTTTCGTTCTCGTTCTCGTTCTCAGGAAATCTGCATCATCAACCACACACAGAAGCAGCAGCAGCGGCAGGACGGTCCGGAAGCTTTGCTGCAGGTGCGAGTCTAAACAGCAGTGTAATGCTGATAATGAATCACATGTTGATCTCACATGAATCACCTGTGTGTGCAGGATGAAGAGGAGGAAGAGGAGCAGCAGCTGTCCAGAGTCAGTCAGGAGAGACAGAGGACACTGGACCGACTGCGCAGCTTCAGACAGGTCAGACGCTCGACTGCATCTGAGAACACAGAAATCACACTCCAACACACGAGAAACACTCCCATCACAGCATCATAATCATACAGCACTACCTGCAGAAACTACTGGACTGACTCCGATCCGTCTGATTCACTCAATCACGTCTTCGTTTGCTTCTTGTGAATACAGCAAGGCTCGAAATTGCGACCATTTTGGTCGCATATGCTCCCAAAATTTAATCTGTGCGACCTCAAAATATATTTGGGAGCATTTGTGCGAGTGCATATAATTGTTGTCATGTGACCTGTTTTAATTTCTCTAAAAACCTTCAGAGTATGTGCCTTCTGAGTGTTGATACGGTGACCTGTCTGCCGTTCTATGAAAC